ACACCGCTGAACAAGTATTTTTGTTTGGTACCTGTTTTCAATTCTTTTGTTTAAGTGAGATTTTATAGTTAGCAGAGTACCTTAACGGGATCTAATCACCCCAAAGGGGAATTTTTAGGGCCTAACTCATTAGCGAGATCAGTTCAGCTGGTTTAGCCTACTAGCTCTGCCCTGCTCCAGTGTAAAATCTGATGAGGAAGAAACTTGTGAGCATGCCTGGTATAAAGAAAGGTCCGTCCCATCCTCCCTAATGCTAACATCTGGCCTCCTATTGTACAGTGCGCTCTTCATTTTCAGAGAATTCCCTTCTTTGCTCACTGCCTGAGCAGTTTGCCCAGGATTTGTAGCTATGGGCTTCCACCGTCACTGTCAAACTCCTTTGGTCTGTGACTTGCAGTGGCCGAGTGTCCCTTTCCTTGGTCCAAGGTGCTTCCTGGGCAGATCCTTCTGCTGCCACAGTGGTTGGGATCACTCTCAGCCTCGTTTGACAATCCCTTTGGGCTGTGACTTGCAGTGGCCGAGTGCCACTGTGTCTCCACATCACCATGTAGCCCGTGCCAGGGCGTGCAGCCACTGTGATGAACGGCTGACATGCCACCTGCCCTTTCACGCCACACTTTTCTCCTCCGCAGAGCGCCACCATGGCACGCTCCTTGCCTTGCCGCGTCATGTTTTTAGTTTGCTGGGCATGGAGGGCATTCATGATGAGAGACGTGTTCGCTGGAGAAAAGCGTGGCGTTGATGAATGCTAGAGGAGCACTGGTTTCTCTCCAGCCCGGGCAAGCGGGAAACAGGGAAAGGATGAAAGGCACTTGTGACTTCACGTTGAAAAGAAAACCTTTGTTGCCACCCGGCATCTTCCCAGCACAAAGCCCCCGCACCCAGTGCCAACATTACCATAACCAGGCCATTTGGCAGGAAGCTGTGTACCAGGGTGGCAAGCGCTAGTTTGAGGCAAATCTAGCTATGGAACTTTGGACAAGTTCTTTACTCTTACCTGCCCTCAGTCTTCTCATTTGTAAAATGGGAATAATTACACCTTCACCTTCTTTATAGGATTGTTGTCAGGATTAGATGACTTAATGTCAGTTTGGGTTTTTTTTTTTAATTAGACTTTAAAAATGTATTTTTAGCCGAAACTGGTTTGGCTCAGTGGTAGAGCGTCGTTGGTCTGTGGACTGAAAGGTCCCAGGTTTGATTCCGGTCAGGGGCATGTACATTGGTTGCGGGCACATCCCCTGTAGGGGGTGTGCAAGAGGCAGCTGGTCGATGTTTCTCTCTCATTGACATTTCTAGCTCTCTATCTCTCTCCCTTCCTGCTCTGTAAAAAAAATCAATAAAATATATTTAAAAATGTATTTTTATAGATTTCAGAAAAGAATGGAGAGGAAGAGAGAGAGAGAGAGAGAGAGAGAAAATCAGTTATGAGGACAGAATCATCAATCAGCTGCCTCCTGCACATCCCACACGGAGAATCGAGCCCACAACCTGGGCATGTGTCCTGACCAGGAATTGAACCATGACCTCCTGGTTCAGAGGTTGGTCAACACTCATCCACTGAGCCAAGCCGGCCAGGCTTAATGTCAGTTTTATTTTTAAGTGAAACTTAGTGCCTGGTACACAATAAAGGCACCTTATAAAGTCCCTTATTTATAAATTAGGCTGATTGAGTTAGAAGAGGATATGGAAAAGCAGAGAACACACATTACAGATCTAAGAACTCACTGTAATGACTTGAGCTTCAATTTCAAGTTTAAATCCTGTGTCCACCACTTACTGGCTTTGAATTTGAGCCACTTACTTAACTTCTCTGAATCTGAGGATCTCACTCTGTAAAATACAGAGGATAACATGCCTAAGGGGCAGCTTTGAAGAAAGCACTTAGCACAGTACCCAGTAGGGAGAGTGGCAGGCACTTAATACCTGTTTGTTTTTCTAGCGCTGTGGTTCTCAACCACATTCAAATCACCCCAGAGCTTTTATAAAAGCATGAATGCCCGAGCTGTGTCCCCAGAGAGAGGGGTTTAATAGGTCCGAGGTGGGGCTTGGCCTTGGTATTTTCAAAGCTGCCTGAGGAGAGTCGGATAAGCAGCCAGGGCTGAGCTCTGCTCCCCAGCAGATGCCATTTGTTGTTTGTGTTTGTTCGTTTCGTGTGAGCTTTTTAGATCTGCCCCCGAGAGACTGGCCAGAATGTCAGGAATTCTGGACATAGTCAAAAATTCAATCCACCTGCAGCTCTAAGCCTCTCATTGACAAGAAATGTTCGGCCAAGGAGCTGCATTCCATTTTATTCGGGGGAGTGGAGGGGAGTATTCAAAGAGTCTTTTTAGAGTCTTGAACTGGAAAGGTGGTAAGAAGTTTAGCCTAAGCCTCACACATAAAATATGGGAACTCCCAGTCGGTTGGGGATTTATAACGGGGGGTGATTCTAGGGTTTTGTACTCCTAAGAGATATAAATTGATGCCTCGAGAATTTAGTGTGGGGGAGGAATAGGTGTTCTCATAATGACACCTTAAAAGTCCGGGTCTCCACTAATGCCTGGGATAGAAAGGCAACATCTATAATAGCAGAGGGTGGAGGGGGTGGGTGTCTCAGGACTTCGGCTTCCAAGATGCAAGGCTAGGTCATCCAGAACCTTCTTTCTCCCTATGGGTTTATGGTATTAGTTACCCAATAAAAGTGGGGTTAATTTTACAACCCAAGTTAAATGTGAGCCAAGAAGACCTCAACGTTGCTCTAGGATTTATGAAAGTAAACATGGAGAGTGCTTGCAGGATTTTGCAACATTAAAATTTCAATGTCTTTATGTCAAGGATATGATATATTCATCTGTAATCGTATTTAAAGGTTATGTTTTAAGAGTTTTGCAAGAGACTATTTTCAAGTGTAAACTGAAGATACTTCCCCCATCTCCGCCTTCAAAAGGATTGTTTTAGTGACTAGGGAGAAGAAAGCAGCTGAGAACTAGTGTCTTAAAGATCAGCCCTATCAAGTTTGTTTTGTTTGTTTTTTCTATTATACTAGGTTCTCTAGATTCCCACACCCAATCCCCACCCCAGGGGGCCCTAGTACTGACTGTAGTCCTTGTTACAAAGCAGGAGCTTAGTAAATAATTGTCCTTAAAAAATAAGCATCCTGTTTGGTCATTGTAGTAATCCTATATAATAAAACCCTAATATGCAAATCGACCAAACAGCAGAATGACCAGTCGCTATGACAGGCACTGACCATCAGGGGGCAGACACTCAACACAGGAGCTGCCCCCTGGTGGCCAGTGCGATCCCACATGGGAAGCACTACTCAGCCAGAAGCTGGGCTCATGGCTGGTGAGTGCAGCGGCAGTGGCAGGAGCCTCTCCTGACTCTGCAGCAAGCGAACATTTCCCAAGGGGTCCCAGACTGAGAGAGGGTGCAGGCCAGGCTGAGGAACCCTCCCCCATTCCAGTGCACTAGTGTCGTGCACCAGGCCTCTAGTTTAATAATAATCATATTACCTTTGTATAGCACTTTTTAAAAGCATTTACACTGCTTGGTAGGCTCCTCGTGAGTTTTGGCCAATAGGGTAGAGAGGCCAACTGTTATCATCTATAGATGTGGCTCAGAGGCTCAGAGATTGCCTAAGGATAGGAGAATGTTAAACCCAGGAAGAGAATTTTGTTTCTCCTGACTTTGGCTTTAAAGTACTTTAACTTAAAAGAAACCAAAGGAGACCGAAACCAGTTTGGCTCAGTGAATAGAGCGTCAGCCTGTGGACTGAAAGGTCCCAGGTTCGATTCCAGGCAAGGGTATTTACATTGGTTGCGGGCACATCCCCAGTAGGGGGTGTGCAGAAGGCAGCTGATAGATGTTTCTCTCTTATCGATGTTTCTAGCTCTCTATCCCTCTCCCTTCCTCTTTGTAAAAAAATCAATAAAATATATTTTTAAAAGAAACCAAAGGGGGAAAAATGCTCTTTTGTTCAGAGGATGTATTGATTATAGCCGGGTTAACAGAGAAGAGGAACACCCTTGGTGAAAGTCCTTCCGTCAGCGTGGAAGGTGGCCTTTGGCTGTGGTCTGCCTCTGAAGCACAGCTGGGCACTCTGTACTCCAGTGTCTTGTTTACCATAGGCCCTTAGAGGAGTTTATGGTCTCTGTCCTTTGGTGCTGAACCTGCCATCTTGGGTCCTGATCTCTAGCTTTTATCTCCAGCCATTTGCCACACCGTCAATAATTGTCTCCCTTTCTAGTGTCTCCTTGTCTTCAGGATAAAACACCCCTCCCACTTGTTTAAAACAAAAATTGTTATTGCAACTGTGAGGCTGCAAACATTTTTTAAAGGTTATATTTTAAGGTTTTAAGGGATGGTGAAAACAAGGTTTCCATTGACATCTTCTGTAGATTACCTGGGGTTGAGTGACTCATTTGAAATTCTCCAATCCACAATTTGCCCATCCTCTCTCTGCAGCATAGAGATAATGAGTCTTAAGCATCAAGGAGCCTCATAACTGCACTGCCCTCTGGTTTCTTCCCAGCTGCACCCAGCCTCTCACCTCGGGGGGCCACCTAATTGACATATCAGTTAGAGTGGATCTTGTGCAGAATTCGCCCACGCCTTTGTATCAAATGAAGCAGAAATAATCTGTGTTTTAAAAAAACAAAAACTGTAGAACATGTGGCCAGATTTTCAATTCATTTCCTCTTTACTCTTATAACTACTTCATCTTCCAGCCCACCACCAGCTGCGAAAATAAAAGTGTTTTCTCCCATATTTAAGGATGATGTTGTGCTTCGGGATGGTTTTCTGGGGGTGAAGGAAACTTGACCAATGTGACCAACAGATGTTTTAAGCATGGATGGAACTGAGGAAAAGTCTGATTCCTTAGCTCAGTCTTTAGGATACTATGCTCAACTGCGCCCCCTAGTGACTATTTAGGGCATTGCGCAATCAGATCCAACTATAATATGTCTACTTGTGACCATGTATTACTGCATCAAGTAATGTCTATACTCTGTTTTTAGAGATGAATATGAAGAAGATGGATTCTGTCAACCATACAGAGGGATTGCATGTGCAAGATTTATTGGCAACCGCACTGTCTATATGGAGTCCTTGCACATGCAAGGGGAAATAGAAAATCAGATCACAGGTAGGCAATACCACTGAAATTCTGTTTATACCTTGACTATTATTCTCACCAATAGTTTTCTTAAGGTCCTCTGTTGTCCAGGGATTAGGCCAGGCACAGGGGTTAGGAGCAGGACCATAAAGAAACATGAGATATGATCATTAAAATATTATTAAGATTGACATTAAAATAATTTATTGAAGGTTGCTCATAGAGGAAAAGGAAGCTTTGAAAAGCCTCACGTTCATTTAAACACTCAGTAAATATTGCTGAATGTCTTCGATGTACCTGGGCCCTGGGGTATGTGATGGTGTGGGGAATAAAGCCAGTTGTTTATGCCTTCACAGAGCTTACTGTTTGAAAGCCACATCATGTAGACTGGAAGGGAATGAGTGTAGAGTCTAGAATTCTGGACTCTATTCCCTAGATCTCCATTACTGTGACTTTAGGGAAATCTTTTACTCTCAGTGAAAATCCCTTTCTTCATCTGTGACATGAATGATGAGGCAAGATGATCATGGAACTCTTCCTGCTCCAGCTCTCTAGAGTTTACCCTTCATTTTTTCTGAATTGAGAGTATCTTAATGGAGATCTAATAGTGAAACGCTTTTTAGCACACATGAGTTAGGTAGTGTAGGTTATCTTCTATGAGTTTGCACACCTAGTTCTGGTGCTTAGAGCCACTTTGTACCTATTGGTGTAGTTATTATACCTCTGTGCTATGTACTCCTGCAAGCCATTCAAATTGCCTTTATTAGATTCTACTAAGGTTTCCAGGCTTAGTAAGTAAAAATTCAGGACATCCAGTTACATTTGCATTTTAGATAAACAACAGGTCATTTTTTAGAAGAAGGAGGTCCCAAGTGGTTATCTGAAACTAGAAGCCAGGTGCATGAAATTCGGGCCTAAACCCACAGTCGGGCATACCTTTCACAATCGAGACTGCTGGCTTGCAGCCCCTCTCCTGCCTGCCTGCCTGATCAACCCTAACCACTCCCCTGACAGCCTGATTGACACCTAACTGCTCTCCTGCTGGCCCGATTGCCTCCAACTGCCCTCCCATGCTGGCCTGGTCGCCCCCAACTGCCATCCATTCCCTGCAGGCCCAGTCACCCACAACTGCCTTCCCCTGCTATCCTGATCACTCCCAACTGCCCTCCCCTCCCAGTCATTTTGTGACCACATGGGGATGGCCATCTTGTGCAAAGATGTAACGATAAATTTGCATATCACCTCTTTACTATATACATAATAATTCAAATGTAACTGGGTCCCTTGTTCTTGATCTGGCAACCCTGGGATTTAAGAGAAGTAAGAACAAACCCAAGGTAGGCACAGTGAACCCAAAAAAGTCCAGGAACTGTGTCCTGTGATGAATTTGAAGAACAAAGAGATGGCTGCAGGAGCTGCTTGACCTGGAGAAGCAACAATAAGAAGATGTAGTTGCCACTTGCTGAAGCCCTCAGGCTTTCAAGGGGAAGGATTCTGGGGTGTAGGGCTGATGAGGAGGAGCTGCTGAAGGCACATTTCAACCTAGTATGAGAAGGTTGAACATACTTTTTTACTAAGTGCTCACGAAAATAATTGGGAGTTATATTATAAATATTTGTTCACCCGTGTATAAAAATCTTCTGAAACATTTTCAATGGGCATCAGCTTACTGGAAAGTATTACAGTAAAAAAAAAAAAAAAAAATCCACTGAACTTTGTTTAACCCTGCATTTCCCAAACTTCTTTGGCTACGGAACCCTAGTTTCTCCAACACTACTAACGTTCTACATAATTATTGTTCGGAGGAACATTCTTTGGGAATCAATGTATTATACTAACAACCTCTTAGGTTGCCTTGTGAGTAAGCCCTTGTCAATGGAGGAATGCCGAGAGAGGCTGGCGCTTGCTTTGTACTTGGAAACCGTGCTGGATCTGAGGTTAGGCTAAGTGACCATTAACATTCTTTAATACTCACTGGAATTACTGAGTTGTGCTCTCTGAGAACTTCTAAGGGAGCTGCCTCCTTTTCGGAAGATGGCGTAGAAAGTATTCAAGCCACAAAGAAATTAAACACGTTACCCAAAGTCACCCACCAGCTGAGAGGCGAAACACAGCACAAGTCCTGCACTCGGGCCCAGCCGCCCCATCCCATGCATCCTGCCCAGCAGCTGTCAAATGTTTCAGAAACCTCACCGAACCAATAAAAAGTACCGGAGGAAACACAACGTTCTGTTGCTTTGTAATAAAAATGAAAAATATATTGTCCTTTAATCTAATTAATTCTTTTTTTATTAGGAAACGGTACATATGTAACTTAATCCTGTGTGTGTTTTTTTAACTTTGTAGTCAAAATTATTTTTTTTTCAAGCCAGTGAAAGTAAGCTGCTTAGGCATCTGACATGAATCTCCTTCTCTTGGCCTTGCCTGTCTGAGCCCAACAGATTCCTTCCAGGGTGTGTGTATATCTGATATTGGTTGGCTAGATAACCACAGATCAACCCCAGCCCTGGGAGTTAATAACTGTGTTTGTTTTCCAGCTGCCTTCACCATGATCGGCACCTCCAGCCACTTATCTGATAAGTGTTCCCAGTTCGCCATTCCTTCCCTGTGCCACTACGCCTTCCCTTACTGTGACGAGACGTCTTCCATCCCCAAGCCCCGTGACTTGTGCCGCGATGAATGTGAAATCCTGGAAAACGTCCTGTGTCAAACAGAGTACATTTTTGCAAGATCGAATCCCATGATTCTGATGAGGCTGAAGCTGCCAAACTGTGAAGATCTCCCCCAGCCAGAGAGCCCTGAAGCTGCCAACTGCATCCGGATTGGAATTCCCATGGCGGATCCTATCAATAAAAGTAGGTTCAATCCCTGGCCCTGTTGGGGGGGGTGTGAGGAAGGCAACCAGTTGATGTAAACACATCAATGTTTCTCTTTCTCCTCTGTCTCTCTCCCCCTCCCTCCCTTCTTTCCACTCTCTCTCTTAAAAAAAAAAAAAAAATCAATGGGAAAAAATATTCTTGGGTAAGGATTAACAAAGATAGATGATAGATAGATAGATAGATAGATAGATAGATAAACAAATGTAGGTGGTAGCCCTGGCTGGTGTGGCTCAGTTGGTGGAAACATAGTTCCATATACCAAAGGTGGTGGGTTCAATTCCTGGTCGGGGCACATACGCAGGTTGCAGGTTTAGTCCCTGGTTGAACAGGAGGTAACTAATCTCTCTCTCTTTCTCTCCATCCTCTTTCCTCTCTTTAAGATCAATTAAAATAAAAAATAGATGGTAGCCCCTGGCCCTCTGTACTGCCTTGGGGGCCAGCCACCCCATGGCACAGTAAAAACTAAAATTCCATCCGCAGTTATGCTTTCTACTAATGATTACCTTCCAATGGGCTAAATATACAACATATGCAGTCTACCTTCAAGTAGCTTCATGAAGATAATAATTTTAAAATATGGTTGCTGGTTCCTCATTGACTTAAAAATAGAATTACCATATGACCCAGCAATGACATTCTTGGGTATATACCCAAAAGAATCGAAAATAGGTGTTCAAACAAAAACTTGTATGCAAGTCTTTGTAACAGCTCTGCTCATAATAGCTTAAAAGTGTAAGCAACCCAAATGTTCATAAGTGGATAGACAAATTGTGGTATATCCACATAATGAAATATTACTCATCCATAAAAGCCAATAAGTGTCACTCATCCATAAAAAGGAATAAATATTATTCATCCATAAAAAGGAACAAGATGAATTATTATTCTACCATAAAAAGGAATAAAATCTTATTACAACATGACTGAACCTTGGAAACATTATGATAGTGAAAGAAGCCAGACATCAATGTATGATTCCATTTATGTGAAATATCCAGAATAGACGAGTCCATAGAGACAAGAAAACAGATTAGTGGTTGCCAGGGGCTGGGGAAGGGGGTCCAGGGTGGTGGGAAATGATGGCTCAATGTGTATAAGGTTTCCTTTTGGGATGATTTAAGGTTCCAGAAAGAGATAGTGTAGAGGTTGCACACTATTTTGAATGTTCTAACTGCAATCATGGTAAATTTTATGGTATGTGTAGTGTACCATAATTTTAAAGATTTGTATATGGGGCATCTCCATCCTCTCTCTATCCTCTTACCACCATCAAGCTAAAGACTGCTCCTCTCTACATTTCCCATTCATCTAGAATTGCACTCATTGATAATTTTTTTTTCATTCCCTTTTGGTAGTGAATACTACTTTAGTAGTTAAATAACTTAATGTATCTAAAATGCTTAGAACGATACTTAGCACACAATAGGAACAATATCATCAGTATTACTATTATTACTATCACAACTCGGTAGATTTTTTTATCAGGGATTTCAAGTAACAGCCCCCATGGTCTCATGGGAGGAGTACTTATTCGGACCTGCTCCTCAAGGGTGTCCAGTCCCTCAGCACAGAGAGGGCTTAGCTCCTGTGAGAAACGCATCCTGCGCTGCCACTAATAAGCATTCTCTGTGAATTAGCTTCTTGATCGCATGGTTCCTATCTAAGGCCCTCAAGCAGATGCAGAAAGAGCAGCTGAACTTGAACTTTCCCCGAACCATTCCCTAGGAAATTACTCCTATGCCCCAGTTCTGATTTTTTTTCCATGTTCAATATTAAAACTACTTGTGGAGTACTGGTTTTATTCCCGAGGCATAAGCTTTAAATCCTCCCAGGAATGTAGCTGCAAGGCCAGCTGGTGTCCCAGCCCAGCATGCAGGGAAGCCGCCCACAGGGCCCCTGACCAGCGTGGGGTGGGGGGGGTGGGGGGCGCTTGGCCTTGAGGTTAATGCAGAAACTGCTGGCGGGAGCTCCGCACCTCCTCTGTTTCTCCCTCACAGGGTGGGCGTTCCCTTCGTGTTTTTCAGATCACAAGTGCTATAACAGCACGGGCGTGGACTACCGGGGGACCGTGAGCATCACCAAGTCCGGGCGCCAGTGCCAGCCGTGGAACTCCCAGTACCCCCACACCCACACCTTCACCGCCCTCCGCTTCCCAGAGCTGAACGGAGGGCATTCCTACTGCCGCAATCCCGGGAACCAGAAGGAGGCTCCCTGGTGCTTCACCTTGGATGAAAACTTTAAGTCCGACCTGTGTGACATCCCAGCATGTGGTAAATAGCACGCCGTTGCCTTTATTGTGGTCCAGCCTGCATCAGCAGAGCCCCGTCCCGTCCCCTTTCCTTAGGAGCGTCCTATGAGTGGCAAGGGAGATTCGTGGTGTTTCTGTGATCTTGACCTATGGTTGTAGGATAGATAAACCTGTTGTTTCTCCACAAAAATGCCTGTTAGGTACCAAACAGGGAGTGAACTTGTACTCCTGCAGCCATGGTGTTAGTGGGTGTAACAGGCACCGTCTCTTCAGAGGCACAGAAGAAGCAGCTTGGCCCAATCATTCACGTACAAACACACTTCCCACATCCAAGTGCACCCACCTTGTAGCACAACAGGTGTATTGGCAGCAGAAAGAGAACTGCTTTCCCTGTGCCCTTGAGAATACCTACAGGGTCGGAGTAATGTATATAGAGCTATTACTCAGTCACATAAGGCAATTGGCGCATATACTGCCGAAGTCTAGAAAGAGAATGGGATTCCTACATCAGTTTGTTCCTTTTTCCAGCAAATGCTCGAAGGGTTGGAGGAAGAGAATGAAGATGCTGATGGAGCCTGGAGTTTGGTGCTCCTCTGGGAGTGATTCATCTTCCTGACCCTGGTTCTCATGGAGAATGTCGGTGGGGCTTCTCAGGCCTCGGGGAGGCAGGAGGTGGAGAAGGGGGGTGAGCATTCAGGATGTCACTGCAGGGGAGGAACAGCCGTAAAACGGAGATGATGATGACCTACACCGAGGGCTGATTGTGAACATAAATGAGTTGTTAACTGAAAAACCCTACGATGTTCTGAAGATAGCAAGTGTTTAATCAATATTATCTATATAAAGAAATCTAGGATGAGTCATAAACAGTCTGTGTACATAGGGATGCTTGCTCTCAGTTTGCCAAGTACTGTTGGAGAGCTCACTGTGGAGCAGGGAGGTTGAAAGAGGAATAGAATGTGATTCCCATCACAATCACAATGCGATGTGTATGATACAATGGAAGCTAGCACAAGAGTATGGAACAAAGAAGAGGAAGCTAAAACGCACTAAAGAAGCCCAGAAGAGAAAGCAATACAAATATAAACAAGAACCCTCAGTGATGAAAATTTGAGACACTCTTATTCTACAGTTTTGTTCTTATATGTTACGTGTTACCGTATTGTCTCCTGCAAAATGGTTTCATGGATAGTTAAACATGCCAAGTTTGACAAAGAGGTGACCAGACCCCTTTTGTCATGCTGGGCTTTAAAATGCCTTCACATGCAGCATGAAGAACAAATTATGAAGTTAACTCTTCCAGAGCAGCCATTGGAAACTTCAAAGCAAATTATCCTGTATTTTTAAAATGGTTTCCACTTAACAATTTATAATATGACTTACCCTGCATGCAATATTCAACAGGAAAAGAATAACAATAAAATATAGGCTGATGATTACTTAGTCACCCCATCCCTTCTCCTAAACCAGGTAAATTATAAAGATCTGCAAGAGCCATAGGCTTTATTTCCGCTCACCCTTGCTGCTGAAGAAACTGAGGCTCAGAGAGCCTCAGAATCATGCAGCTAGTTAACGGCAGGTCTGTCTAACTCCACGCTCATCATCTTGCCACTCAGGGCTGTGCTGCCTCAGGATGCTATTTGTCCTTAAAGAGAAACAATGAGTTATTTTAAAGAAATAACACGTTGTTCATTCCATAATGGGTGAATGCAGTTGTGCTTTAAGTGACTTCAGACCCTTAATTTCCAACTAATATCCATCAGAAATATGGAGGGGATTTGCTCATAAACTGGAAGATTTGTTGATAATGTGATTCAAGCTTTAATACCATTAGTTTAAGTCAAGACTCTAAAGTATCCTGAAGAAGTATTGGTTTTCATTTCAACGGCCTTCCTGAAGTAGTCAGACCAAACACTTGCTCTGAGGGATGAAAGAAATCCTTGTACAGTCTTTCAGAATGTGGATGAGAGAGAAAGATCACCTGCATTTACAAAATACCTACCATGGGCATACAAGATGCTCCTTGCTCTATATATTCACCTCCATTTAAAACTCAGAACCATACTGGGCAGTGGGTTTATTACCGTATTCCACTGAGGTTCCGGAGGGCTGAAGGAGTTGTCTAAATCACACAACTGATGGGGTTGGACTTTGAACCATTATCTGTTCACATAAGCTCTAACCAAACTCAAAGCTTATGCTCTTTTCCCAGATACTCTACTATCTCCCATTTAAAGATTTTTCAAGAATAAAGACAATAGACTCAACCTCTGGATTCCAGTTTATTGATTCCCATAATATAATATGACATGAGAAAAATAGTCCCTTGCTGATAAAGAAATCTATCACAGTATTACTCAGTGTATTATTAAAGTATTAATCAGTGCAGTGATATTGGAGACCTTCAGAATATTTCTTTCTGAGTATCAATCTGCAGAGAACACAGTTAAAATCCAGAGGACTCATTAATTCTAGTCATCTGAGAGATAAATTTAGATGAAAGTTAAATCTGGAGATGACAAGGCAGTTTTCACCACTTATAAAAATAATTTTTTTTTAAAAAAAGAACATTTTTATTTCATTTTGAAAGAAAACAGTTCCTCTAGAACTCTTCAGGCCAAGCCACAGATACATCCATTAAAGCAGGCGTCTTCAAACTATGGCCCGCGGGCCACATGAGGCCCACAGAGGAGTCTGATCCGGCCCGCCAGGTTTTTTGGGCATTGAGCGCAGCCGAGGTGTTACAATAGGAATTAGTAGTTCATATAGTCCGGCCCTCCAGCTCTCTGAGGGACCGTGATCTGGCCCCCACTTTAAAAAGTTTGAGGACCCCTGCATTAAAGGGACAGGGACGCTGGGCCCCCCAGGATGAGAATTAAAGAAGTGAGCAGGTCAGCACCGGCTATTGTAATTGTCCCTCAGTCACCAACCTCTGACAAAATAATCATAAGACAGCCCTACTGTATAACACTTCTTTAGAGCATTTGAATTTTTTTCCTTATTTCATCATTACAAACATCATGAAAGATATAGTAGGGATTATCTGCTCTGTTTACAATCCCTACTTTATCTTTGCAGGAAAACCAAAGGCCAGGGAAGTTGTAGGACTGACCCATGATCACAAATTAACTCATGGAAACTAGGCATCCTATCTCTAGGGCCACGCACAGCTCTTTCTTCCAAACCAGTGATTCTCACCCAGGGGGAGTTTGCCTGCCAGGGGACAGTTGGCAATGTCTGGAGATACTCTGACTGTCACAACGGAGTGGGGTTGCCATCAATTGGACAGAGGCCAAGGATGCTGCTAAACATCCCCAGAAGAACAGAACAACCCCAGAATTTTCCAGCCAAATGTCAACAATGGCCAAGGTTGAGAAATCCTGAAGCTGGATAGGAACTATATAATTTACACTGTAGAATATAGTATTATATATTTATTGCATAAATTATATAATTTAAAGTATAGAATAACAATAATATTAAACATCAATTACCATTTATTAAGAGATTGCAATGAGCTAAAGACAGTGCTAGGAGTTTTTTATGCATGATCTTATGTATAGTAGTCCTATAACTCTGTGAGTTGTGTTTTATTTTACCCAAGAAAAGAAAACTGAGACTTAGAAAAGTTAAGTAACTTGTCCATGGCCACAAGGTTAATAAGAAGTGGATCTAGGACTCAAGCCTATAGCCAATCTTTTAAACTCTATGATTTATAGATGATAGATAGATAGATAGATAGATAGATAGATAGATAGATAGATATTGAGAATAATTTTTCATCTTACAATGAGTTATAAGCATGTGAGACAGATTTGAAATGACTCCTTTCCCACTTCCCTCCCAAATGGGATGGAGTCTCATTCGATGTTCCTATGTTCGTTAGTTAAGTCAAAGTTAAGGAGATTTCAAAATCTCCATGGGGTTTCTCATTTTCCCACTGATAATTTTTGTTTTTGTTTCAACTTAGGAAGGCTAAAAGAGGTATAGGCCTAATTAAATGCAGAATGTGAGCATTGTGGTACTATCTAGATTCTAGAATAAAAGCACCAGAGAATAGTCAGCCACAGAATGTTTTACCCATGAACTTTCACTCTAAGACAGAACATAAAATTAAACACAACCAAATATAGCTGCTGTGTATCCTGGGAATTGGCTAGGACTGTGTGCATGTGCCCAGGCAGTGCTTGGAGAGAGGGGAAGAACAGAAGGTAGTTTGGGCAAGACCTGACCTCTCAGCCTTCCAGTCTTTTCTTTCCTATCCCAGGCATCTAACAATTGGATAGTTAATTATGTATTCAGCCAGTCACTCTTTGAAACCAATATGTGTTGAGCTCCTACTGTGTGTCCGACTTTGTGAACATGCTAGATCAGACCATATGCATGTGTAGCTTACAATCTAGTGGAAGCAGCAGATGAAAGAAATGGGAATCCCATTAAGCATTGTTGTACGGTTCCCAACATTTACGCGTGCTGCTGTTATGTGCTTTGCATTTTAATGATGGCTGCTAGTTGATGGAAGTTCTTTCTACCAGCATCTGCCCTATGAATTAATTAGGGCTCAAATAAAATATGTTAAAGTAATTGATCCTCCTGACCACAGAATAAAGGAATCATCTCCATTTTACTGATGGGGGAGCTGAGGCAATGTTGTTTCTACTAAAGCCAAGATTCAAACCAGGTCCATAGGACTCCAGGTCTAGTCCTCTGTCCACCATGCCACAGGTACTTACATCTCGATTATGTACAGGGATAAGCATTCCTTTATCATTTTCTTCTTTTCTTTGGTCGTTATGCACTTCCTAGGTCTTTGAGAAGTTATCCATTGATACTCTTTGCAGCTCTTCAGGTGCAGGAATGGAACTCCATCCACAAAGACATCTACTCTGACAGACCCCAGGGGCTCCACATAGTCTCAGCCCCCACCTCCCCCCCACCACTCAGCAGCTTCACCCTGGCCTCACGTGCTTGCCCTGTTCCCGTTAAGTCCCAGCCCTCCTCCCTTCCCGGCAGCCCAGGTCC